CTCTCTCTCTCTCTCATGTGTGTGTGTGTGTGTGTGTGTGTGTGTGTGTGTGTGTGAAGGAAAGCTGTTGGAGTAAGGATGGGGTATGAAAGAATAATTTATTGCACTTTCAACAAATATTAATTGCCTAACAAGTGCCGGGCACTCTTCAGGATGCTGGGAAGATACAACAGTGAGGAAGTGAGATAAGATTCCTGCCCTCATGGAGCTGACACTCTTTAAGGAATTATCTTTGTAGATATATTCAGAGCTTCCTTCCTTCCTCCTTTTTTTCCTTCCTCCCTTTATTCACTCATTTAATAAATACTCAAGTCAGAGCACATCCTAGCTTGGCTACTTACTAGCTAATGCAACCTTGGGCAAATTTCTTAACCTCTAATTCTCTCTTCTCTAAAATGGAAACAAGAATAGGACCCACCTGAACAATCAGCCCTCCACCTATGTGAGGGCCGGCTCAGAGAAATAGCCAGGAAACTGAATTCAAGGCTAGCCCATGCACAGCCTGTCTGCCTGGGAGGCCAAGGATAATGGGTGAGGCTTTTGTCCAGGTCCGAATGGGCTGTGATCTGTCTCTACCCTGGCCATCCTAGAGCCCATCATGCCCCTCTGAGAGGGACAAGGGGGGTGCATCTCCAGGGAAGGCTACAGTCTGTGCCCAGCTGGGCCTGGAGGAGTCGTCATCATCCACCACTGTCTGCAGGCTACCGGTGAGACTCCCAGGGGCCTGGAAGCTGGCCCCCGCCCTGGAGAATGTCTGAGCCCCACTCTATAGCCTGACCACACTGACATTTTTCTCTACCCTTTAGATAATTTGATTTATTCAAGTGACTACGGTTGGCATTTTCCCCTAAGTGGTCGGACTCACGGGCATGATGGGGAAATTCAGTGAGGTCACAAGTCAAGAGCTTAACGAAGTGTTTGACTCAGAGCTAGAGGTCACACGTTCACTTTTCTTGTCATTGAGCACTTGCTATATGACAAGCATGTGCCAGATGCTGGGGACGTGCACACGTGTGCGTGTGCACACAGACACGCACGTGGTGCAAAGGTCAGTAAATGCCAAGAGACAGCCTTTGTTCCTGCAGCAGCAAAAGAAGGCTCTGCCCTCTCTTGAGCACCTGCAGCCTGGGTACCTTAAGGCAGAATTCACGTTCTCTGTCTTCCTTCCTTTTAAAACACAGGGAGGGTGCTGTAAATGCCAGTGATGTGTTCTTACTGTTACAAACAATCTATAGATAAGAAATATAAACTGTAGCTTAGTCACAGTTTTAGAACAGAATATAACTACTGCCTTCCTTGAGAACGTAGAACGTCAAAATTGGAAATAGAAAAATAGAAAACAGATGCAAAAGCAAGACCCAGGTCCTCATTTCATCATCTTTTGTAAGGGGGAAGTTAGTATAGCCTGACTAATGTTTCTATGTTAGGAAATGGAATTAACAGTCATAAAACTATCCACCAGCGTTAATAAAAACCAATGCTATTAACACAGGTCACTCCTATGAACTAGCATTAAAGACAGAATGGAGGAAGAAAGACTGTCGGTTTCCACGTATACGGTATTATTTATAAACCATTATAATCACCAACCTTCTCGTTACCTCTAAACTCTCAGTTACCCCATATTTTTTCACCAAAACTTTGAGAGCTGGCTTTCCCCTCACCCGACTCCGTCCATACGGAGGAGTGGGATGGGGATTTCGGCGTTCCCCAGACCCTATCACCGCTGTTGATCACCGCGGTTGCTGTCGGCTCATTTAAGAGGGGTGACTGTACCCATTACTCGACTTCAGCAACTGCCAATAAGCAGGTGAGTCCCAAGTCTCCGAGTCTAGGTCAGTGGCTTCCCCTGCACCCTCACGCTCACACACAGGATCCCCGGTCTCTCGCCCTGACGTGGGTGACCCCCAGGCATCTCAAAGCCGCCACGTTGGAATCACCTGGCCTAACAGAACACCTGGTCTGAGCTGATCCTTCTCTCACATAACCAATCCTTCCAATTCTTTCGAAAAGCAAAAAAACAAAACAATACAGAAGCCACTGGGAGGGAGGGATTGCTTCCAAACACTCACGTATTGGTTTATCTTATTCCCAGGTGAATGGGAGGACATTTCTTATCTGTAAAGTAGGAACGTTCTAGCACTCTCCTCGAAGGGTTCCCGTGAGAAAAGATCATGCGTGTATGTGCGTTTAGCACAGGGGCTGGCCAATGTGGAGAGCTGCACAAATGGCAGCTGTTAACATCACAGTCCATTTCAGGCGGGGTGAAAGAGAAGGTTATATGATGCAGCTGTGAGAACATGGGTTTTGAAAGCAGAGAGAGCTAGGTCTGAAGCCTAGCTCAACTATTTCCTAGCTGGGAGGCCCTGCGCAGGTGAACATCTCTGAGCCTCAGTCTTGTCATCTGTAAAATGGGAATAATCCCATAACCCGCCATTGTTAAGAGAATCAGTGACAGAATGGCTGAGAGGTGCTTAGTGCATGTCTGGAAGGTGTGAGGTTGCTGCTTCTTCAAATGGAGGTGGTGTCAGGAGCTGACAGGCAGTGTCAGGAATTTTCCAGGAAAGCCTACCTCTTAACCCTCGGTTTTTGTTTTGTTTTGTTTTTAAACTCTCGATGCTTATCTGCCAGTGCCCAATTTTTTAAACTGCAGTTTCTCTTGAATGACTACCTGTAATCCCTCACGACTGCTGTGCTGCTCTAGACAATGGGTTTTCAAATCATGTGACTCTGAGGTTGCTCACAATCCCAGGGGAGATACGCTAGTATTTCCCCCGAGTTTATAGATGACAAAACTGAAGCTCAGAGAGGCTAAGTAACCTGCCCACGCCCACCCAGCTTTTTTTTTTTTTCATCACAGGCCTGTCTGAACCCAGAGCGTGTGTCTTTAATGATATCAGCACAGGGTACCACCTCTAGCTCGTCTTTCTTTCTCTCTCTCTCTCTTGCTCCATTTCTCTTCTTAACAGGTAACATAGAAAGAGCTTGGGCTTTGGAGTCAGACTGTCCTGAATTCAATCCCAACTTCAGGGTCTTGTGTAAAATGCAAGATTATGATACCGACTTCTCTAGGCAGTAGTGAGAATCAAATGGGATTAAAAACAAAATGCACTTAATGCCTTTATCCCAGTGCCTGGCACACAGTCATAAGAAGTCAATGTCGGGGACCCGAGTGTCCTCCCCCGGCACACCCCTTCCTTTTCTCAGCCGCTTCCCCAGACACTCACATAAACCTGAGCTCGGACTCCCGTCGGACCAACACTTCCCGGAGACGCTGGATTTTCGCCATCTCCAGCTCGATCTCTTCCGGCATCATGGTTGTCTCCGCCATGGAGATGATGTCCAGCTGATCTGTGCGGGAGACACGGAACGCAGATGTCAAGACCCCAAGGCTGCACGGGTTTGCAAGAGTTCCCTCGTTCCAGGGAACAGACTTGATCCAGCAACCTTCACACGTGGCACAGGGAGCTCAGTGGGCACTGCATGTGTGTGTGTGTGTGTGTGTGTGAGAGACGGCCCTTCGGAAACTGGAACACACGTTTTCCATGGGAACCCTGATACGATGGCAAGAGGAGACTCAGGCGGGCTCATCAAGGCCTGCTCACGGTCATGTATGTGGCCCTGGCAGTGCCTGCTTGGTCCTGGCTCCTAGAACCTCTGCTCCCCTGACCACAAGCGCTTTGCCCTGTCCCAGCCTTCAACGCCAAGTCCGCCTTTCGGCAGAAGGAAGTTTTATAAGCATTATTTTATAGTAATGCTATTAATTATTATCTTACAGGAATACTAAGCAATGTAAGCAATAGTAATAGGAAAGAATACAAAAGGACAAAGTAAAAGAGTCATCCATAACCACACTGCCCAGAGAGAACCACCATGTACATTCTGACGGACAGTTTTCCGGCCTTATATTTATAGCATTATGTGTAGCCATATGTAAAAAATATTTTTAAAATATATCCCATATATATTATCATATATATAGAAAGGCTCTATGTATATATATGCACATAAGTACGAGTATGTATATATGCATGTGTATTAGTTCATCTGAGCTACCATTACAAAATTACAGAAGCTGGGAGGCTTAAATAACAGGCATTTATTTTCTAACAGGTCTGGAGGCTGAAAGTCCCAGACCAGGTGTGGTAGCGTCAGTGTCTGGTGAGGGCTCTCCTTCTGGCTTATAGACAGCCACCTTCTCGCCGTGAGCTCACATGGCCTGGTCTTTGCGCGTGCGCGCGCGCACACACACACACACACACACACACACACACACACGCACACACACACACACAGAGCTCTCTGGTATCTCTTCTTATAAGGACACTAATCCTGTAGGATCAGGGTCCACCCTTATGACCTCATTCAACCTCAGTTACTTCCTTGAAAGTCCTTATTTCCAAATCAGCCATACTGGGTGTTAGGGCTTTAACATATGAATGTGGACATAACCATGCAGCCCATAACAGTATATATATGTATGTGTGCTTATTTGTGTGTATACAAATTACCACCTATATTGCCATTAACATTTTGACATACATTCTTCATATATATGGTAATCTATATAATTATATACTATATATGTGGTATACATATATAGGGTGATAAATATATGCTTTATATGTATAGGATATATATAACACATACACAAGTATTTTTAATTGAATATAGTTGACATATATTGCAAATTTATGCATCCCCATGTTTATTGCAGCATTATTTACAATAGCCCAGATATGGAAACAACCTAAATGACCATCAATGGATGAATGGATTTTTAAAATGTAGTATATATACACAATGGAACATTATTCAGCCATGAGAAAGGAGGATATCCTGACATTTGTGACAACATGGATGGACCTTGAGCACATTATGTCAAGTGAGATAAGTCAGACAGAAAGACAAGTGCTGTAGAATCCAAAAAGGTCAAACTCATAGAAAACAGAAATGGTTATGGGGGGTGGGAGGGGACGGGGTCATGGATAAAACTGATGCTGTTTAAGGGTACAGACTTGTAACAAGTAGTAAATATTCACATGTATTTGTTTTTTAGAGACTGAAAAAATGTACATGAAAATATTAGTAGTTAAAAATGTTAAGATATGCATTACAGAGGATGCCAAAAAAATGTATACACATTTTAAGAAAGGAAAACTGTATTAAACTGGTAGTACTCAACATATACCGATAACAAAAGATGAATACAAGTCACGTTTGACTTCTGCAGTTACAAGAGGTGCTCAAAATGGTTCCCATCAGCGTCCAGACACTTCTGATTATGGTGAGCTACTGCTTGAGCAACGTTGACCCAAGTGTCCAATTGTATGCATTTTCTTGGCACCCCTGGTATAGACACAATTATATATCCATATAAATTCACCATATATACTCGTAGGTCTGGTTTTCGTCATACCATGTAAAGACAGGGCCTCACATTTTATTACCTGCTCTTTTCACTTAACACATCCATGAGCATTTTTGCTCGTCCTTGGATGTTCTTCCCCAGCAGCCGTGTGAAAGGCTGCGTAGTTCTCTATTTGTGGCTGTATTATGAATCATTTGATCAACCCCCAGACATTTGGGTTGTTTTCCACTCCCCCCTCCCCCCCACTATAAACGGCCCTGTGATGAGCATTCTCAAACCTAAATCTCTGAGCGCATCTAAGAGGTTCCTTCAGGCCACATTTGCAGAGGGAATGCGTGGGTTGTAAAGGATGCAATATTCTAAGGCCTTTCCCAGGTCAAGAAGGAGACGTAGGTTAGGGTCTTGCTCTACTCTGAGGCCAGCATCACCTCACCTATGTCTGCTAACCCCCTCCAGCCCCATCACCTCAGTTCTGATACCTGGCATTTGTCTTTTTCCTTACCTCCCAGCCAATGGTTTTGGAAGCTGCCTTCTCTCTACCCGTCTTCCGTCTATGACCTGGAGCCTTGGCCCAGCACACCTGCTGTGATTTGCAGACTTCCTTTAAGTCAGCTCCTGCCTGCTTGGATCTCAAAATAGCACCCACTCCCAGAAGCCTGCACGACTGCTTTGTCATCTGTGGGAACCTCCTGACCTCAAGTTCTTCGCTAGATGTCAGATTTTTGGTAAACGGCCATGCCCTTCAATCTCTTACTCCCTTAACACATCATTACATAAGCCAAAATTACCTGCCTCCCCTCCACCAGTCAAAAGGCCTGGCTTGAGGAAGGAACAAGAATAAACTAGTAATATTAATTGAGTGTTACTGCACGCTGGGCTCCCACCAGGCTAGGGGACCAGCTTTGACGAGCACCAATTCTGGGCACAGGGCAATGGAGGGTTGTGTTGACCTGGGAGTGGGAGGTAGGGGGTATTGTAGAGTCAAACGGCCTGGCTTTGAGTAGCAGCTCTGCCCCCTCACTGTGTGGCCTTGGAGAGTTAGTTAACTGCTCGTGACTCAGTTTCCTCCTCTGTAAGTGTGTAATGAAGAGAATTAATCACACCCCGTGGACTGGCATTTTCCTTTGTCCTCGGGGGAGGGTGGAGGCGGGGGCAGTGCCAGTCTCCAGGTACTGAGATGAACGCTTAGCTCTGACTTTGGGCAGAGACTGGGGTTGACGTCTCTGTTGAAAAGTCTTGCTCACGGATGCTTTCCTTCCCCTGGAGAAAGGAGTGAAACCTAGACCTCAGATTGGTTGGTAGTCATTAGAATCCTTTCTTGGAGTGAGTGCTCTGTGCCAGGCTCATTGTAAGCTGTCTCTCATTTAATCTTCACAACACCCAAGGTCAGGGGTTGGCAAGCTACGGCCACAAGTCAAATCCAGCCCCCTGCCTGATTCTGTACGTCAAGTTTTACTGGAACACTGGCCACGCTCATTCATTTATGGATTATTTATGGCTGCTTTTTAGTACAACGGCAGAATCGAGTAGTTGCAACACAGACCATATGGCCCACAAAACCTCAAATATTTACTACCTGGCCCTTTCCAGAAAAAGTTCGCCAACCCCTGTCCTAGATGGTCGATGCTATAATTTCCCCAGCTTAAAGGTGAAAAACAGAAAACGGGCTTACCCATTAACGATCATAGCTAACATTCACTGAGCATTTATCACAGGCAAGGCCTGGGTTCTCAAAACAGCCCTGGGTGGTAAGTACTGGTAGCATCCCCATTTCAAAGATGGGTAAATTGAGGCTCCGGAAAAGGAGTAATGTGGCTGAGATTTACCACCAGATCTAGCCTACTCCAAAAGCCCTTGTTGGAATCAGTCATATTCATTTTAAACCTATCTCGCCACTGAAGACGCGCCATCATCATCTTAGCAGGAGAGAGAGCTGAGTATATCCTGTTATGATAGATCCATGGAGAGCAGGAACTGTTCTCAAGTAACAGCAGGTGTGGGGAGGACCTGGGGAGCTGGTTAGAAAGGCAGAGTCTCCGTCTCTACCCGCAGGGACCCCCATGAAGGAGGTCGTCAGACCAGACTCTGAGAAACGCTGGCCCTGGACATGAAGAAAGGAACATCGTACACAGTGGGTTTATTTTTAGTGTGAATTTGTGTGATGGAACTAGCGTCATGGAAACCCTCTTGACAATACCTTTCCTGGAAGGCAGGCATTCAACAGCTGCCAAAGATTATGTCCATGAGGACAAATCCTGGAAGACGACAGACCACACTTCGGGCTGGAGAGAAGACAGCCTCCATGAGACGGCTGTGGGGACAGAGTGAGGTTGAAGGCACTGAAGTCCCCAGGGCTCCAACTGACATTGCTGCCACTGAGCTGCCAGGAGTTGAGTCACTTCTCGGGGAAGAGGCAGTGAGATCTATCATTTTATCCCCAAATGCCACGCTGGGGAGAAGCATGCCTCGTGAGTGCCACAGCATGAGCACCGGGCACAACTGGGGCATGCCAGCAGGCTGTCATTTATCTCAAAAATGTAAAGCTACCCAGGGACAACGGGAGTGATGTGAATGAGGGCCGGCCATCTCCTAGAAACTTGTAATTTAAATATAGGTGAGAAGGGTTATTACCAAAGGAAGCCTTCTCTGGTCTATCCCAACCATGGGCCACAGTTGGAATTTAAGCCCAGGGTCCTCTGATGAACCCCTCCTTTTGTTTCTGCTTCATAATTTAAAAAAAAAATTTTTTTTATCGGGTAACTGTGTTTTTTCCAGGACCCATCAGCTCCAAGTCAAGTTGTTGTCCTGCAATCTAGTTGTGGAGGACGCAGCTCAGCTCCAAGTCCAGTTGCCGTTTTCAATCTAGTTACGAGGGGCGGGGGGGGGGCAGTCCACCATCCCATGCGGGAATCAAACCGGCACCCTTGTTGTTCAGGGCATGCGTTCTAACCAACTCAGCGGTAGGTCAGCTCGGGCGCAG